AAACATTGTAATCATTTACACATAAGCACACATTTCCGATATTGTATACCAAATAAATAAAGAGTTCATCACAAATAAATGAGATTATATTACGATAATATATCTCATCCAATTATAAGGCTGGCTGTATTAGAATCATTGCAGATAGAGAGAGAGAGAGAGAGAGAGAGAGAGAGAGAAAGATGCTTTAATTTAAAAAAAAAAAGAACCGTTCCACTAACATGAATAATAAGCAACGAATGCAAATTCGACGAATCTGCTCATTCATATTATTCATGAATTTTGTAGGAATAGCAAAATGTGAATCTAAAATCATAAATATAGCTTTTCACTAATTTTTAAATATTATAATGCATATTATTATTATTATTATTATTACTATTATTACATTATATACTAATATTGTATAATACAATTTATATTTTTATCATCCTGCTTACAAGAGTTGTACCAACTATATCTTATAAACATTGATACAATTGTATTTTTGGTAAATTAAGAAGACTGCTGATATTTCATGTGTTGTATGATAAAGTTTTTCAAGCCTATTGATTGGCTACAAGACAAAGAGGTTTTCAGATCTCTATTCTGCAGCCAATCAACATGCTTAAAAAGTTTGTCATACGACACATGAAATATTAAGCTAACAATCGAGTGACAATGATAACAATTTGATGAAATACACAAAATGATCGATAATAATTTTATAAATCTTTGGAAAAAACAATATCTTGCTACTTTGCTTTTGTACAAGTTTTTTCTTTTAACTCCCAACAAGATTCCCAAAATTCTTTAAGTCTATTGTCTCCATTAGAACAAAAGTGTCGAAAATCCTGTATGATTTTCTTCTGGAAAAATTCATCGCCCGCCGAAAGAGACAACGACTTCCACTTACGGCTTACCATATGATTCCAAGACCATAAAAAGCCCATCTAAAATTAATAACAATTATAATTTTTATTAGGCAATTTGATTGCTAGATTTTTTGTCATCTGATGTTAAGTGTTTTAAAAAAATATGCTGTTGAAAAAAAAATGTAATATAAATCTAAAATCTATTTGATTAATTCTCTTCGTATTTCATTCAGAAAAAATATATTATTAAATTTAATTCTTATTACACCGGTAATTATTAATGCATGAAAATTTAAATAATCGTTCAAGTATACGATAAGATTACTTACTTTCCTATCTGTGCTATGGTCATCCTTTTTTCCACCAACATGTCTGGTAATGTACGCTTCGTGCGGACTAGACTGATCCGGATGAACCGGATATCTTTTTTGTCCTGTATTTCGCCGCACGACATTGGTAGCAGTTCGCGGACGCGGCCGAGTATTCGTACTGAATGGCACTAATATAAATGCATTGCCAGTGATATGAACGTACTGACGATCATTTTCGGTATTTTCGACTAAGCATGACATGAAGCCAAATCTCTGCAGAATTGCTTCTTGGAATAAAAATAACCTTTGCGCATAGGTATCTTCTCGGAATTCTGCAAATTTGTATCAAATAAAACAATTTGTTTTTTAATAAAACTGATAATAAAATCAAATTAATTTAGAACAAACCTTCAAAGAGGTGCCGCTTATTTGTCATTAAGCATTCCGTATCAAGTGGTATAAAAATAGGTCCTCTAAGAGGATCACTCTTTAGAGTATATGGTAGCGCCAACAAATCGCTGGGAATTGGTACCATCTGTATCCCACACATTTGAGCTTTGCGTTGCCAAACGAATATCTTACAGACAGATATTGATTATTAGCATTGATTCTCATATTCTAATAACAAAATTGTAAAAGAAGAGATAGATCGATATTTACCAGATCAGCCACTATACTGCCTGATGATGCTACCCATTGTACTACGAGTTCGTAAGAATTATCTACTTTATAAATAGACTGATATCTTAAATGACCCCACTCGATCCTATCACTTTTATTATTGATATCAATATCCAAATGAGTGTGTTTATACAACGGCACTGAAAGAGAACAAATTATATAAATAATTCGCGTTTTTTATATATATCTATACTTCATTGATCGAATCTTGACAATTATTTTACAAATATTTTCTTATATGATATATGATTTATAAAAATCATTCATTAAAAATTAGAGATTAACTCTTGTCTTTTTTTTTGTAGATATTTGTGATGTAATATGAAGGTGAAGACACATAAATCATATATTGAATATTTTTAGTGTTACCTGTCCAATTTCTATCATCCATTGATTCAGTTAAATCGATATCATCTCTCAGAAAAGATGGAACATTGGATTCATCAATAGTGTCGCAACTAGGAATTGTAGATACTGTGGACACTGTTGTTGAAGATGTTGGTTCACACCAGCCTTTCGATGGTCTCATCTCTATTTCTACCCATTCATTCTCAAAACTTTGCAAATTCCCGAGCGGAGCGGAATAGTCTGCGGCTATTGTAAAAAATGCAATTACATTGCGAATCGTTGAAAATTCGATCGTATTTACCTTTTTGATTTTCTTTATCCTGTACGATGTGATACAAATAAAATCCGAGGACAAAGGGTTGTGAGAAGTCACCGGATGCATGACATATCAATTTGTCTTGAATCATTCCCTGCACAAAAAAGATAAATTATTTTTTATGCATAATCTGGAGACACGATGTCTCGGCACTGAGATAAGCATCGTAGCGCGAGACACTGCTCTTTTACGCGAGCTGGCGAGTTGCGGCAGATCTGGAGACTGTAGATTCTTAGTAATGGCTGAATTGATGAAGTTCTATATACAGGGCCCAGCCGAATAACATGTAAACAAAAATATATAGAATAAAATTTTTCGATTTTCTGCTTAGTTCCCGAGAAAATCGAGTTTGAAAATCCGCTGCGTACTTATGCGGCTAAGTTACGCTTTCGTCGAGCGACGTATAATGCGTATAATGTTTATAAATGTTTACACGGAATGTAAAAGCTATTAGGTTAAAGGAAAACACGAAGAAAATTTTTAGTGAATAAAATTTTATTTTATCAATTATAGTATTGCTGGAACTGTTGTCCTCGTTGTCAGATACATAACTGTATGAACATAACCATCTAATTATCGATACCTGAACTTTCGGCAACGTAGAGCGTTGTTTATAAACACTATATGCGTTATATGTCGCTCGACGAACCGTAGCCTAGCCGTAATAGCACGTATCCAGCGGATATTCAAACTCAATTATCTCGAAAACTAAGCAGAAAATCAAAAAATTGTATTCTATATATTTTTTTTTTATCTTAACAGCAAATATATGTAGTTTAGGGGAGCCCCCCCCCCCCCACCAATGATCTTGATCTTGATATATGTTGTTAAGGTCATGACCCTGAGTGACCTTGAAAAAGTTTTAACCGTCGGACATTACTCCTTAAAAAGTTATAAATAAAAGAACTAAGAAATAACGTATATGATCTCTTTTCCACCATATAAAAGAAATTTTCTGTTTCAAAAGTATATTTTATAACTTTTCATGCGAAGCGACTCCCACCCCACCTCTCTCTTTGCTTGGGGAGGGGGGGGGGCGCACGACTTTCACCTGAAATGACTTCCACCTCATTTCCCCCATAGACATAATAAGAATAGACCGAGCGTGTCCTCTATTTTGGCATGGAGATCAGGTAAAAAAAGACAAAGAGCAAATATTAGACGAAGATCAAGATATTCACACCTTACTTCTCCTCCCAACTCGTTCCTAGTCACAAAGAGAAAGCTACACGGCATCTATTGTCCGTCCTTTTCTACTTAGTCTTCACATTTCAAACTTCACGCTCAATTTATTCTTATTATGTCTATGATATCTCCCCTCTGCTTGGAGATGCACGACTTTTACCTGAAGTGACTCCCATCTCACCTCCTCCCTTGCTTGTGGGGACACGACTTTCACCTGAAGCGACTCCCACCCAACGAGTGACGTCTGACGATTAAAACTTTTTCAAAGTCATTCAGGATCATGACCTTGACAACGTATGTCAAGGTCAAGGTCATTGAGTGGGCTCCCCTAAACTACATATATATTTACTTTACTTTTTTTATAAGAAATCATATCGTGCTCACTTTTATATATTATTCGGCCGGACCCTGTATATCGATAGCTACGCAATCGATAGCTACCGCTCGGGTTGTATAATGAAAGTACTTTTATTTTTTTCTGCGTGTCCTATGAACGGAGATATTGCGACGCAAACCTCTAAATCTCTGAATTTTACTATCATTTTAAGAAACGTCATCATTATCAGGAGACGCGGTAGTGTCTCAGCGCTAAGCCAAGTAGGGTAAACTTTTGAAAACGTCAAATGCCCGATTCTCATGAATTTTAACAGAAATACTCTAAATGATGTTAAATGACTGCCCTTAAATGAATTTTCACTGAAGATTTATTGCCAAAAATGTTTGAATGACGTTATAGAAGTACTTATTATTTTTAGTATATTACATGTTTATCACGATTTAAATTATAGCAGTTAGGCACGGGAGACACAAGTACAGAAAGAAAATATAATAATAATCTCATCCCCATCTGCCCCCCTGCTTAGCGGTGCCCGATTTTCACGCGAAGCGACTCCTATCTCACCTCTCCCCTTGCTTGGGGAGCGCGAAACTTCATCGCAAAGCGACTTTCACCCCACTTCCCCACTGCTTCATGGGCATTCGACTTTCCATGCAAAATGAGTTTCATCTCACCCTCCCTTCCCTCGTCTAGAGGCGCACAAAAGTGGGGTAGATCTTCTTGGAGGTCCAGGTCAATATCAAAGTCTTTCGGAAGTGATTTAGAGTCAGCTGTATACAGGTAATCCATTCAGGTGATATATGTTGTATTAAGAAACCAACACCAGTCTGAGGATGTTTCATGGCTTCCAACTTTACTTAAACATTTTTGGTGTTAATTTTCTTATCGGTGAAAATTCATTTAAGGGCATTTATTTGACGTCATTTAAAGTATTTTGCCAAAATTTATAAAAATCGGAGGTTTATCCGAGGAGTATCTGTATTCAGATAGTAGTGTGGCGCTAAGATATTATTAACGTCTATTAATAACAGTATTGTTGTCGTCGATCAGCAGAATGTACAGCTACAGCGTCTGGCGCCAAATGGTGCGAGAGATGCTAATCAGATGCCGTTCGAGTTGTGACGTTAGCGGTTAGAAGCTCGCGGCGATGTGCGCGGCAGTTTCTACGCATCAAGCTATCGATGGGTGCAGTCCGAGTTATGCACGAAGCGCATGATATATCGTTTTATTCTTCTTTATTACTTGGTAAACAATAAGGACAAATAATGCATCATGCGCTTCATGCGTAACTGAGAACGTACTTAATGACGGATATTCGGCACTTCATAAATTAATATCTCGATTGCGAAAATTGAGAAATGGTCAAGAACTAAGCATCAACGAGATACTATTAAAGACCATCGGCCCTGGGCAAATGCTCGTGACTATCAATGGAGCATGAGGATAATTAAAGAATTATGACATTTACCGACAATTAATAAAAATTTATGATTATTAACATAAATATTTTGTATAAATAAATATGCATACTTTTTTAATGCTATAATATCTTACATATTGCCTAAAAATTACAATTTTTTTCTCCGCAGTTATCATTTCTATTGATAAACAAAATAATAACATTAAAATCACAGTTTTTAATAAAAATCGAATATTATTAAGTTTTAAACATATATATCTACGAATAAATATGTATGTTTAATAATAAATCATGAAATTAGTACCGTATTAGTTTCTTACTTTTACCCACATAGCAATGTATTTTCTCAGGATAATTTGATCAGATTGATTCCATTCTGATCCAAAATATTAAATCGTCCATATAATTAGCTCAAGACATTTGTAATTATCATTGTACTAATATAAAACGTTCCTAGGATATCCTATTTTAATCCGAAAAAATTTTGATCACTATATTGATAAATTGCATTTTTCATCTTTTGACACATATATGTCATATACATTTACGTAATTTACCATTTTGAAAAAATCGCTCCGAGAACGTTCCAAACTTCAATCAGCTATGTTTTCTAATTATACAAAGATATGTAAAGATATACAATGTGAACAATGTACGCAATATATTATATGTGTGTAAGTTAAGATTAACTATTATGATAATATCAAATTCAAATTGTAAACTGCATTAGATAATAAAATTTTTCTAAATTTTTACCTTCATAATATTAATACCATGTTCAATTTCCATGCCCCCTTCTACATGGTTATTTAACCATTGGATTGCATCGGCGCTAACAAATGTTTGGCTAGGGAGCGAGGGATGTTGTGTTAAGAAACCAACACCAGTCTGAGGATGTTTCATGGCTTCCAAAATTTCCACGTTTGTTGCATTGCTTTTTATCTTGGTTAGCTCCTGGTTTGCACTGTAAATAGTTATATAATAAAAAATTATATATATCATATAACAATAATAATTAAAAGGACTTTGTATTTAAAAAAATATAACAACGAAGAAATTCAAGGCACTATACAATTACTATATCACGAACGATAATTTGCATATTTATATATTTATTTTATCAAATTTTTCATGTTCGTGTTAATTAATATATCCAAAGCTTCTCACGTTCTCGATCCGTTAGGATATATCGCCTTCATTAAATTGGTTTAAGTTTTCGCATCTGTATGTAATTTATTTGATTAGATACAATTTCGATAATCTGAAAGCGACTTATTTTTTATGAACTGCTGATAAAACAATCTGTGAAAGAACCCCGCACAAAACTTAAGGGTTTTGGTCAAATAGCTTTAAATTTTAATACTTTGTAACTTATGTTAAGCTGATTAAAATTCTTCACGAATATGAATCTCCAAATGTCTTTTTGTTCTAGGATCTTTGGAAAGTCTTTACATTTTATATGAAAAAGTACAAACAATCGAAATAAATTCTTTTTTACTACACTTGTACCAATGGTATGTTTATAATTTTAACTTTGCGTTTTCGGAATTACCCGGAAACAACATGAACGTGATGGGCGTCTTTATTCTTCTGAGATGCTTAATTTATATGAGTTCCCTTGGTTCTCATGAATAGCGTGCGTGAATCTTCTTGGAAATTCTAACATGCTTCTTGGAATTAGAAAATAAAGTAAGGCTTTTTTTTCAGGATGTCTTATACCGTAATAATATTTTTCGAAATATTAAAAAATATAATACTTTTTTCGTGATATTATGTTCGACAGTTTTTCCGTAACATACATGTATTACTAGGCCTAGTGTCCGGTTGCATATTTTGACCGATTTTATTTACTGTCATCCTCCTTTTGTTTCATAGCATTTATATTGCGCGTAAAAACATAGATCGGGTTCAGGAATCTAGACGACGATCTATATATGGAATGGTGGTGGACTCCACACATGTGAATTTCATGTGTGGAATTTCCAACACAAAAGGAAAAATATAAATGATGGCGGGAAATGTACAGCTTCAACCAATTATCCGATTGACATTTTTTCCCATATAAAATAGACAATTTTTATGAGGCCGTAAACCTAGAAATGTCATAAATTTTCCAAAATAACTATTTCTTTAAACAGGTTGAAAATGAAAAAAAGTTCGTGAAAATTGACACTTAATTTCAAATAGATGCCATTCTGTAAATTTTCAAATTTTTCAAATAAAATGATTTATGGCTTCACAAATTTAATATATTTTAATAATTTCATTGATTTTTTTGTTTCAGATAAACTGTCGAGATTTCTCACCAATTGGCTACGTACTGCACGCTCTAATGCACCCGTAGGCTACAGCCGCAATTTTCTACATTTGTAAAAATAAAAAAATTATTTTTGTATGTTGAAATATAAAAAACATAATGCAAAAAATCATTTCAATATCTCTTTCCTTCCCTGAAAAAAATTGAGAAAAAATACATAAATTTTAGAGCTCTAGACTAGAACCTCCCCTTAAGCACTTGAAGAGAAATGAATGAACGACAGTTGTCTTGAAATGACAAGGTCATTTTGTACCATAATGGGTGTGTGTGTGTGTGTGTGTGTGTGTGTGTGTGTGTGTGTGTGTGTGTGTGTGTGTGTGTGTGTGTGTGTGTGTGCGCGCGCGTGCGTGTGCGTGTGCGTGTGTGCGCGCGTGTATACATCTGTATAAATATATAAATATGTAAATAGGAGATGACTTTACCACTGTTGGTCCCAAGTTCAAATAAAAAGGAAATAGATATCTAGTCACTTATCATTATTTTTTAAATAACAGAACTTTTTCGTTGCTATTTATCAATATACATATTATAGTTGATATAAATCGAATTTTAAAATACAAAATAATTCGTAAAGAAGATTAGGTGGAAAGCAATAATTGATGTATTATTGTATTTTCAAGTTTTCAAATTTTTCATAAGATTATTAATTTTTTTGTAACAAATATCCTAATGAAAAATATAATCTAATTAACGTTTTGTAGTGCAATATTACTCGCATTTTATCCAATTGGAATTAATTTCTAAATCATTGAGGCATAACTGACAGTGATTTTATAATGATGCGAATAAGGATTTTATTCACTTTAATTCAATGTACCAATTTTTTCTTAAATCTGGCATTATCATAACAATTATTTTTTGTATCTACGAAGAAAAATATATAAGAAAATATAGAAATAAAACGATCCCCGAGTGGTCGCGAAATCCTCGAAAATTGGTACTCTCTTTATTTAGACTATTTTTCTGAATAAGATCTTTCAAAGATCTTAGAGAAAAAAACTAAGGCATTTGGAGGTTTGTGCCCGTAAGGACTTTTAATCAACTTGGCATGAGCTACAAAATATTAAAATTATTTGAAACAATGACCAAAACTTATTTCCCATGAGATTTGTACGGAGTTTCTTTATGTATCTGCATCGCTGAGGACGATTCCGAAAAGAGTTGAAACATTTGATTAGAATAAAGATAGCATGTCTTTAGCAAAGTAATAAATAAGTTTATTTCAAAAATTTTTGTGTTCATCCGCGCTGTACTCTCATTTCTTGTTGTATTTTTTCATTATTTGTTGTTGAATTTGTTTATATTATATAGATACTATAGATATTTAATATAAAAACTACTAATATACAAAGCTACAGTCTATCCAGAAGATTCATTACTTATTTTAAATGCGAAACAAGATGAGAACTGTCTTCTTAAGTAAAAATCACAGAGAAAACAAATAACTCTTCGTCTCTCATAAATCTCATAAATTCTATAATTAAAGATTTGTTCTATTATAAATTGATAAGTCATTAATTGTAAATATTGATAGTAATTAATGCAACTTAACTCCAAATGTTTCGTAATAAACCAAATGAATGATTCTGTATACAAATATCAATACTCTTAAATAAAGTATCCAAACGCAAGTTAACGCATATTATCATTTTACCGTTAAATCAAATTAATATCGTAAATTAAAGCAAATAATATCCTTGTACCTGTCGTCATTAGCATCAAAATGATCTTGCTGCTGTTGCTCGAGCGACAACGGCAAAACAGCTTCACTGGCAGGTGATACGCGTCCTCTGTCCATTACTTTAGAACCAGATCTGAATCACGTATAAAAATAGAGAACATTTATTAAATTATTATACTAGAGCGTAGAAAAAAATGCAAATTCTACGAAGCTATTTATATGTTAATGCTATCTAAAACAAGCAAAAATATTTTATTTTATTATCAAATTAAATTTAAAAAATCCTTACAAAAACAGTTCTCTCGCTTTTTTATTAATTTAAATTGCAAAAGGAATAAGAGAGTGAGACCAACCTGTTTGGCACGTGGCGAGGAGTGTCGAGGCACGTGCGGGCAGCCGCAGCGGTATTCACTACATGCCTCTCCTGTACAGAGGAGCAACAACCCCGTCACTCCCTCACTCACTACCAAAATATTCTAAATGATCACATAGAGCATACATACATATGCTGTTAAATTTAAGCTTTTGCATCTCATTTGTCCTCAGTACGTTGTGTATGTATACTTTCTGAACCAGGCATTAATCAAACAAACAGAAAAAGATGAAAGAAGCTGAAAGGTACAGAAACTATGTGGGGGATTTAAACTCTCTCGCTTTCTTCCTAATGCGTCGCACCTACTCCATATCGAATAACATCGAGATGATATTAATCAAAGTGTCGCGGCGGTTGTTACCAAAGCCCAAGGTGAATAAAAGTGCGGGACAAGAATAATTTATTATAGTACATGTAATACGCAATGACATTCAAAAATATTTTATAAAAATCACGCAAAATAAAAAAAGACATGCACGATAATAGTGCGGTCGAAAACGTTGTACGCTACGTTTATGTCAGATGTATCGGTGCATCCTTTTTTTAATTGTGCTTCTGAATTTAACAAAAGTATGGAGCAATCACCGAAAGCGTTAAACTGAAAAGAAATTGATTTAATATACGGAATATATATCCATACACACTATAAAACAATGTCAAACTCTAATAAAGCATCAAAGAATAGTTTAGTGATCATGTTATGTTCATGCTTCATATTATCACCGTGTGCATTTTAGCATTAACTGTCCTCACTGAAAAAAATCACGTCATGTAGTTGCATGATGAAATCATGTAATTAAAACATGTAAATTACGTAACGGTTCCAAATCAATACATGATTTTTTTAAATTACATAATTTGAAAAGTCACATGATGATATATATTTTTTCTTCTATTTCTATCATTTAATTCTTCAAAATTCGATAACTATAATATAAAATCACATGATGGGTAAAATTATTACGTGAAATTATTAAGTGATTTACATGTTTTAATTACAAAATTTCATCATATAACATTGTAACATGATTTTTTTCAGTAGGTATTGTTCTTTCTCCATCTTTGTTCAAATCAAATATATTCTTGTACTGGAGTTAACAAGTAAATCCTACTTAACATCAAATGCACACTAAAAATATGTAGCATTAGTAAAATAATATATGTTTCGCAAAATCAATAAGCCAGTTAAATATAATATAATGCAAAAGTATCCCGCTCCAGCGGATACTCGTACATAATAAACCAAGCAAGAATGAAAATTATTGACACACCAATTTGAAATAGTCCACTGAAAAAAAAGAACAAAAGAGGAATCCGCAAAACTATGCAGTTAAAGATTGGCGCAAAGCAACAATGCTGAAATCATCAAGATAAACATATTCAAACCTTGGTCTCGGTTTCTCTGGCAGACGGTTGCTCCCGAGTCGCTCCCTGAAAGGAGAGCTGCCAACTAGATTGGTCTGGAAAGTATGATGATATGTAAGAGTAATTGTGAATGATAATGATCAAGCTGATGATATCGTGAACATGTATATATAACTAAAATGCGACGTTCAACATTAAAAAGTGTCTTGTACAAGTGTATTAAATCGTGTGTGTGTGTGTGTGTGTGTGTGTGTGTGTGTGTGTGTGTGTGTGTGTGTGTGTGTGTGTGTGCGTGTGCGCGCGCGCGCGCGCGCGCGCGCATATACAAGGTGTCCCTTTTAATTTATCCAACCGGTTTTCTCAAAATCCTTAAGACAAAAATGCACAAGTTTTATGACATCAAGGAGAAAAGAAGTTGATAACATCTTATAGCGTTTTTCATTGGCAAAGTGCACTCAATGCATTTTAAAGTCGTTGTACACAAATCAACATAAAGATGTACGTCTAATAAAAATATATAAACGAATTAAACCGTAAAATTCTCAATACATTTTATTGTGCTATTTGATAAAATATACATTGGGTATTTTTATTAATTGAGACATCTTACTTTTATTCAGATTTGATTAGTATACAACAGCTTTAATGTGCACTGAGTACAGTTCTGCCAGTGGAAAACGCTATTAGTTAACCTTGATAAGATGTCCTCAAGGTTATTTAAAATTTTTTTAACGCCCCATTTTTTATTATTTATTCTCGTAGTTAACTTCAAGAGTGATTGATCTAACCTTAAGAATATCTTCTCAAGGCCAACTAAGATCACCAACTTCTTTCCCCCTTGAAGCCATAAAACTTTTTGTCTGAAACATTTTCATCTTAAACTTAAGGATTTTGAAAAAACAGGCTGGATAAATTAAAATGGGACGCACTATATGTAAAACGAGAGAAAAGTGTAAATCGAATACATCGTGACATCTGACGCATAACGGATAAGCTCGCTAAAAATCATAGATGCACATTCAATGCAAAAATATATCAAGCACGATTACAGTTATCGTGAGATTATATTGTCTTGTGTAAGCTGGCCTGATCATTCCAGGTAACACGTATCAAAGAAGGGATTCTATCGAGAAATTCGTATACATCTAGCCTTAAGAAATAAGGTAAAATTACACCAGCTGAAACCATTCCACATCCAAATAAAAAGAGATTTTTCAATTATAAGTTTCCAAAAAAGATGACAAAATATTATGTATTATTTTTTCGTAATAGTTTGTTTCTTTCCGAATGATCTCGAAATCTTCTTTTTATTGTTCTGCAAAATTATTTTTTCTGTTGCAACTTCAGTTCATCCGTAATATTCTATATCAAGAATGATATATAAGAATGAATATACAAGTTCATAGATAATTAAAGGAGAGCTCTCCAAGAAATTTTCTTTTATTATATCCCGCGCGTAAAGAATTCAGAAGCTCGTATGAACGAGAATCTCAACAATTGGACTCAGTGTATCGAGGCTATAGGAAGGAAGGATGTACCTGGTTAGTGAGGAATATCAGGCTCGTGCTGTGCCTGCGTCTGGTCAAATGAGAGGCAGGATCTCTTGGAGGGACACCACCTAGAGCTGTGGGGCTCTGAAACATATCATGCTGAAAACCCCTCCCCGTACAAACATTCCAGCTACAAGTCTCTACTTATCGCATACCTATACGTAACACCGCATTTGCAAATTTATTTATAAGCAGAGACCAATTGTGATTTCGTAATCGTTACTTTAATCTATTCTATCTTTAATCTATTATCAACGCGTACGTATCATAAATACTTTGATATGTATTTCGGAACGATCGTATATGTAGTATAGGTATAAGAGTATAAGTATTATATCGTTAAGTAGTAAATTAATACTGCTGAGAATGTTGCTATTGTACATGTTAGGCTAACGCAAAGTGTCAAAACAAGTTTTGTAAAAAGCCGTGCATTTTCTTTTAATAATTTCTAAATAATGAGATATTTTAGTGTCTTTTATTCTCTTCAGCATGTTGTAGAGCAATGTTTTATCTATACATAATTAAGTTTTGTCAGAAACTATTATTTCGCTAATAAGAATTAATACTTTATGCCACAATAAATATGCTCACAGAAACTGCGTAATTCAAAAGTTAATAAGGTATAAATAATTAACAAAAGCACATTAAAATAAGTCTGCGCAAATCAATAAAATATGAGCATGCAACATTCAAATGTAATATAGAGGAGATATTTCAGAAAATATAATTTTTATATATTATTTTCCTGTACATATATATACAAAGTGTCTCAATAACTATTACCGCCTTAAATATCTTCGAATCTACAAGCTTCAGAGGAAAATTTGTGTAATAAAATGCACGATACGAAGGGGGCTATCATATAACGGTAATAATTTTTGTTCAGATGGAGGCGCTTCGGAGATTTTAAGATAATCGTTTTTTAAACTGGGACTATATAATTTTTTTTTTTACGTAATATAATTTCTCTAATTATTATGCATAATAGAATATTTAGTTAGAGATACAAAAAATCTAATAGTTTTGAGATTCTTCTCAGTACTATTGCTCGTACTAAGCTTGCAGTGGCTGAGCGTAGTGACTTCTCTCATATGCCTGTCGTGCGCATGCTGGTTGTACACACTCATGTGAGACCTACAGTTTAACGTCGATTCCAAATGATGAAATTTTGTTAAAGAAGTGCTCTTGGGATACTTTCAGTGGGTGCAAGGATACTTTCGGTGGGTTGTTGTTTCCTTCCGAGAGGAGACACAAGCGTATGACATATTTTGATTCTACCAGAAATCGAACTCGGGATCTCTAACATAGCAGATCAATGCGCTGTCTGCTCTACCATACTCGCAGTTTTGACATATTTTATACTTTATTGTGGAAAATATTGACATGAAATATTAAATACCTCGAATCATATTATATAAAAAATATAAAAAATCATAATATGTAAATGTTACATCCAGCGGATTCCTACGGCTCTTTTCTTTCGTGGAGATCTGGAGTTCGTTGAATATAGAGACAGCTGCGAGTAACGAACAAATTGAGCTGTTACAGCCTAGAAAGGGCTAAAAATTGTCTTTCCTTACGTTAAAAACTAAAGCGAAGAATCCAATATTTCCTTATAAATGTCACTCGGGGATAAACTAAAAATTAGTGCACGTGTGCGAGCGATGGAGCCAAAAGGACACCGAATCTGTGCCCCTCGGACACCGCAACTAAAAGAATAATAATAAATATGTTTTTTGGGAGCGTAGGATCGGCGCCAAGATACTTTTTAATGGTGAAGTCGCGAATAATTCTCACGAGCCCGCGATCGTAAAATCTAGAAGTGACACGCGACATTCTGGGGGAGCGGCATTTGGTGGGCCCATGCCAACATTGCACATACGCTTCCTTAACATACCCCTTGTACATAATTTTAGTGAAAAGCCATAAAGTTTAAGATGACACTTGCTCTACAAAGTCCACTAATATCTTCTTCTTCCCCAAAACGTATTCCGAATCTCGATCAATCCTAAAGCGAGAAAAAATCCTACTACTATTTAACAAAACCTATTCCATCAATCCGAACTCAAGTAATCGGGGGAGATTAGTTTAAAATCGCGGTTTCGCGGCCCTCGAGGAGATTTTTTTAGGAGTTCCCAAAGGCGAAAGTTATGTTGGGACTTTTGGGAAAGACTTCGATTCTCGAAGACCTTTTTCCCAGTGATTAGAGTCGATACAAACAAGTAACCTATTCTATCAATGTAAGATCAATGGCACTAACGAATCAGGCGAATCCACGAAGTGAACCCCTACATTTGACGATCTCTCTGGCATCCCACACATCACTCTCACCAAGTAGTAAGTCTTCAATCTTACTGCAGTACCCTCCGGTGCCCCTCTTCCTCTTTTTAAAAACAAACAAATTTGTAGTGCGTTCTTGCAGTACTTTCGCCCCTCATCGCCATCGTCCAGCAGGAATTAATAATACGTGCTAACGCATCGTCCGTGTCCACTCTATCATCATGGAAAACTCCCAAGAACATATAAAATCTCTGCTAGTTCAGTCACCGCGCCGGCCCCGACTCAATCGCTGTATCTAGAAATTTCTTACTCCCCCATCTCTAACCCGTCTCCAGATTTTTTCAATGACCTCTTTCCATCCAGTCCCTCCTCTCTTTCATATCCAGCATCACCATCCCCAACTGGAGGAACCTCCCGTCTCTCCTAGCACCCCTTTAATTCCTTCCGTCCATTGATGGACTCCCGCTCGGTCCTTTTCCCCTCCTCTTTCATAACGCCAATCAATTGTTGGAATACATGTTCTAAATTCCTTCTTCCAATGATCGGGTGATAGTCCACATCGAAAAATCCACCTGTCTCTTTTCGGTCCCCGTACAAACTCTCATTCCCATCAATCCATTTTCCTTCCAATCGTACGAATTCCCTAAAATTTAATTCTCTCCTTGTTTGGGCACGCTGTGGCGTATCCCAGAATTTTCTCTTAGAGGTCGTCATCTTGCTCTGACTCGGTACTACGTTTTGTTCGGAATGGATTGTGATAATGTTTAAAATAACTTTGATATAATATAGCACATTTACTTCTTACAACAAAATGGCGGACCGTCTTCTTGTAACCTCGAATACAGATTCGCAATTATCACGCTGTGATCGATCATCTACGCAAGCGCTCAGGATCTCCTTACTCGATTGATATACATGAGTGATCTCTTTTCAGTCACACTAGAGAGAAACCTGAGAGAAGACGTGACAGCCCAAAACCTGTAATCGCAAAATGCTGCCGCGCACTACTGCCCTCTGACAAAGTGGACGTAAACTACATAGCAACGTCCACTTTTCTTAGAGTACATCGTCCGTTTTACAAGGCTGGAGACAATAAATCGATATTTGTATAATATTTTTTTATAATATTTTCGTATAATCGTGTTATATATAGCACGATTATATGACTCAACTGAGACCGAACAATCCTCCCTTTCCAAACCCTCCGCACCCTATATAACGCCTGCGTTACACATACGCTCACGCACACTTATGTGCACAAGTATATAAACATAACAAACCAAGAAAGTTGTATTGTGCATGGTCTAGCTTTATCTTAAAGAAAAATATATTAACCTCCATTTTCTTTTTTTAATTATATTGTAAAATTCTGCCTTATTTATTCAGTCAACCTTCCTTGTATTCATCTCTAGTCCTCCCGCGATTGCACTTGGTCCTCTCCCCGGTCATGTGGAAAGACAGGACACGCGAACACACCGGCATATCTGGCGTTAAAGTGCGCCCTAGTGGCACACTGATCCAGTTTGCGCGCTTTAAATAAGTGCGTTCGACTCGTGAGTCCGCTCAGCGGAGCGTTGATCACGAGAGAGGTTTCCACTTCGTCCTCCCGACCTCTGGCTCCAGGACGAAGCGAAATGCTCTCGATTTGCGTCGCTCCTTCCCCACAGCTCTCTTACGGTCCGAAGCTTGGACGTGACCAAATCGGTCAGAAATTCGGTTTCTGCTACGTTCACTTCCCACAGCTCCATGCGTGCTTGAACGTAACATCGTAAAAAAATCATCATATAATTCCATTTTTTTAATTAAGTTGATCTTGAGATCTCCGAAGCGCATCTACTTAGACAAACATTGTTGTCATATGATAGCCTTTTTCATATTGTGCAACTTTAATTATATAATTTTTTCTCTGAACTTTATAGATTCGAAGATATGGATGTACTTCCGAAAATCGATTACCTCGATTTCGACGAAATTTTGTAAAAAAAAAACTTCATTTAAAATAAAAGCCCTTAAGAGGATCCTAAAGCCGTCTGTATTACCAACTAAACATATAATTTTTGTATAATAATTACTTTTTTCCTCTTTTAGATATTCGAAAATCCTTTTCCAGGATTAAAGCATTAATACGTGTCTGTGAGGTAAAGTTTATCAAAAACATGAAAAAGTTTCAAAATTGAGATCTTTACATTTCTTAGCCCAATATGGCACTCTAGAGCTGTCGTGACAATATTTTATCGTATAAAAGCTGTGCATCTATACTTACGAAATAGTAGTCCATAGACTAGTAGTTTACACGAAGAAATAATACGTGAAGTTTTTAGAATCGAATTAGACGTCTAATTAAAATGTTATTGTTATACGAAAATTTATGTATATATATATATGACATGCGTATTGATATAGTAATGTGCCAATGATACATAAATCGTCTGTGTGTAAATCTTACATTATGACTAATCTTTAGGATCCCCTTAAAAGACTTTTTGGCAATAAAAAAGCCATTGTTTTTTAATGAAATGATGAAATAGATAGTGAGTGTTCATCACCAATATAGTGATAAAATTGTTGATTTTAATGATCTTAAAATATATTAAAGAGAAAAAGTCACTAAGTTTCTTGAACCTATCTTTTATTAAATAAATTAATTTTTTTTACATTTATAATATGATTTTGTATGACATTTTGTAATATATTTAAACAGCATTAAAAACAGTACATAATATCTTCTATTTTGCGTAAAAATCTATCTCATCATTTCGATATCTATTATTTTTGTATATTGTAGATTCATACATTTAATAAGACAAAGATTTAATAGA